TCCCTGTTAGGGATTTGCCTCTTTAAAATGGTGAATGAGTTGCCAATAAAACCACAGAATTAAACCAATGATTTGGCCATTGAAATGAAAACCACTGTGAAAGGAGCAGACAGGAATGTAAGGAGAGAGCGACTCAAGTGAGAGAGGAGGCCATTGCTTTAGTTGACTCTGGGAGATGACACTGAAGCTGTGCATGAAAGGTGAGAAGAGGGCAGACATGTGAAGGGTTGAGGGAGGAGAGTCCCAGGCAGAAACCACAGCAAATGCTAAGCCCTGCAAGCTCGGTGCACTCGCAGAACCCGAAGGAGTGAGTTTTAGCCCTTTTGATGCAGCATGGGAGGGCATGGTAAGATTTTCACCCTTAGGGCCTTTCCCAAGGGTTTTTCAGTGGGAGAGATGCATGATGTAATTGCTGGTGACCGAGATTGCTAGGGCTTCTCTGTGGGGCGAAGATTACAGGGGAAGAGAGTGGAAGCAGGTGGCTGGCTAGTGGAGTTCAGGTGAGCGATGAAGGTGGCTGCTGTAGGAAGAGAGCAGTGAATGAGTGTGTGACTTACTGTGGAGGTGGAGCCACTGGCATTTGATGATGAAAAACTATGGGGCAGGGGAAGGGAGAGGTGAGGGAAAGAGAAGAATAAAGCCAATTCCTGGGTTTGGGGCTTGACTAACAAAAATGGAGACACTATTGGCTTAGGCAGGTAATACTGGAGAAACAGATTGCCCTTACACCTGAGCAGCCTAGAGGCTGTCCAAGTGGAGGTGCCAAGCAGGCAATTGGATAAAGGGGGTCTGGGGCTGAAAACGTCCGTTTGGAAGTGGCCGGTCTGTGGATGGTTTTAAAGCCACAGGTGTGCATGAGCAGGTAGACAGGACAGAGGACCAGGACAGCTGCCAGAGGTTCACAGATATTTAGCAGCCTGGAAGAGGGGGCGTCGCCAGCAAGGAGAGTTGAGTGAGGCAGGAAAATCAGAGAAGTTTGGGGGTCACAGGAAAGAAATTTGATTCAAGAAGGGGAATGGATGTTGGTTAATTGTATCAACTGCTGCTAAGAGGTAGCCTCCGAAGAGGTCAGAAGAGCCTTCTGATTCCCCGTATGGGGGTTGCTGGTGGCCTTGACGAGAGCAGTTTAGTGGCACAGTGGAGACCAGATTGCCTTTAATCAGGTGGTTTTTCCATCCTGATTGCATACCTGAATCACCTAGGAGGCAGTAGGGGGGCTGGTTATAAAAACTCTTGATGCCTAGAACCCGCCCTCAGAGACTCTGACTTAATTGATCAGAGTGAGGCAGGGGCATCCCCAGGGGACGCTAATGAGCAGTCAGGGGTGACAGCTGCTGTTCTAATCAGTTCTTAGACTGTGGTAATCAGCCACCTGCAACATGGCCAACACTGACGCTATCCTCAACAAGACCAGTGCCGCCTCTGCCTCGTGGGCTTCCAGTTTCCAAGACTCCACAGTGACAGCCTAAACTGAACCTACTGGTGACAACATGGTCTGGAGAGATCTATGTTTGGAGCCACAGCTGCCCTACTGGAAGCTGCATGGTCTTAGGCAAGTGAAATAACTTCTTCCAGTCTGAGTCTTTTAATCTGCAAAGCGGGGATGATACAATTTACAGCAATTAGACTACTTAAATCAGCACAGCTTGTACAAATGATGCTTTTAATTTTCCTTGACTGGCATAGAATCAACCTGGACCACAGAACTCCAGTTCATGGCCCCAGCACTCTCTGGCAAGGCTGTTTGTGGATGGGGAGGGCCAGTGAGGTCCTTTTTGGCACTTTTGTTTGCTGTGCATCCACTGATCCATAACTCTCCCTTCTGACACATTATCTCTTTAGAGGAATTGTTGACATCTTCAGGCAAGTGGTGCCCCTGCCTAAGTGTCCATCAGTCATGATCGCCTGGTCACAAGCAACAAAACCAGACTCTGCTTAATTTTTTAAAAAGAAGAATTTGGCCGGGCGCAGTGGCTCATGCCTGTAATCTCAACACTTTGAGAGGCCTAGGCGGGTGGATCACCAGAGGTCAGGAGTTCGAGACCAGCCTGGCCAACATGGCGAAACCCCATCTCTACTAAAAATACAAAACTTATCCGGGCATGGTGGCGCATGCCTGTAATCCCAGCTACTCAGGAGACTGAGGCAGGAGAATTGCTTGAACTCAGGAGGTGGAGATTGCAGTGAGCCAAGATTGTGCCATTGTACTCCAGCCTGGGCAAGAGAGTAAGGTTCCATCTCAAAATACAATACAATACAATACAATACAATACAATACAATACAATACAATACAATACAATACAATACA